AAGACCATCGTGTTAATATTAATTGCACTGTATATACGGAATATGTACAGACTCTGGAGTCACTATGTCAGGAGTCACCGTACCTAACCTAATCTAATTTAACCTAACCTAACTTCTCCTAACCTAACCTAACCTAACTTAACCTAACCTAACCTAACCTAACTTAACCTAACCTAACATAATCTACCTTAACCTAACCTAACCTTGCCTAACCTGACTTGACTTAACCCAACTTAATCTAACCTAATCTAATCTAACCTAAGCTAACCAAGATGCCTTCAGTTAGAATGCCTAGATGCTAGTGAAGGACTCTGTTACAGTTATGTACCTTTCCTGGGACGAACACTATTCCTTCCATCTTCAGTCTTTCCTCTACCTGCATCTTATTCTGCTCCACCGTCTCTAAATAACTAAATTAGTTCATCAATCCCTCCTCAGCCCTCCGCTAGGAATCTAGAAAATCTGGAACGGGATAAACTATGGCCTTGATGATTCTAGGAGCATGTTGGTCGTAATTAAACCATCTGACCTTTCATAGCATGCAATATTTGCAACAAACTGTTGCAACCTCACTGTTATAATTCCCAGTAAAAGGTTAGGTAAGGTTAGTCAGGAAACAGGGTAAGTATTTCCTGATGCGGGTCTTTGTCAGAGATTACCTGCCGTTGGAGCTTTTAGCCATCTGACCGAGGCCTTCCGCTGGCTTACCAGTCCATCCTTTAAAAATTATGGTCAGTTATAACCATTTTAAATCAATATTTTTTCCCAGTAATAATATCACAGATGGAATTTCAATTTTTCTTTGAAGTATATTTCGTCTCTGAATATAATTGCTATGTAACTATCATTTTTTTTTTTCAAAATCCACCCATCAGTAAGTAATGTTTGCCAAATTTCAATCAATCTTTTTTTTATTTTTAAATTCTCTCACTAGTAAAAAAATCACATATCAATCATTTTTTCGAATTTCACCCCTCAATATTTTTTATTTATCCATCAATAGAAAATTTCCACGTAGCAAATATTCCCATTATACAGAGATCATAACTTCAGGTCATGATCTCTGGGGTCATGATGTAACGACCTCCGAGGTCATGACATGTGGAGACATGAATTAATAACGTCTGGGGTCATGTCATCACCACCGAGGTCATGACATGTAGGGATATGAGGACACAACCTCTAATGTCATGTTGTCACCACCACCACCTAAGGGTCGTCAAACAACTACCTCCTAGGTGACGGCCCCTGAGGACTGCAGGTCGTCACTACCCCCAGAGCATCCTCATCAGAGACACACTCGAGAGGGGACAGTTGCAGGAAAGTCTTTGAAGCGAGAGAAGACAGCATCAGGGAATCTCCTTTGACTACCCCAGCAACGTCACACACTGGGGAGAAACCCTTCACTTGGAAGACTGAAAAGAACTAATTGTAAGTCAGACAAGATAGATTAAAAACGCCTCAAAGGACTATAAAAAAAGAATTGATTATCAAAGTCAAAATACTTCAGATTAAAAACACAGATTTTCCTGGAGTAATTTTTTTTGTGTGTGTAAATCTGCCGGTTTTTGGAAAATAGTATAAAAATATAATGCGTATTTCCAGAGGTATAAAGGGAGAAAAAGTAATAGGGAAAAATTTGAACAAAGGAACTGGGAAATCATATAATAAAAGTTTGGACATGCCAATCTGAAATGTTCGGATTATTTTATTTAATGTTTTGAGGGTTGAGGGAAGAATATAAAGACTCTGACGACTTGAAAGATGAAGAGCCTCTTGAAGACTGAGATGAAGATGCTGAAGACTGAGATGAAGATGCTGAAGACTGAGATGAAGATGCTGAAGACTGAGATGAAGATGTTGAAGACTGAGATGAAGATGTTGAAGACTGAGGTGAAGATGCTGAAGACTGAGATGAAGATGCTGAAGACTGAGATGAAGATGCTGAAGACTGAGATGAGGATGTTGAAGACTGAGATGAAGATGTTGAAGACTGAGATGAAGATGTTGAAGACTGAGATGAAGATGTTGAAGACTGAGATGAAGATGTTGAAGACTGAGATGAAGATGCTGAAGACTGAGATGAAGATGCTGAAGACTGAGATGAAGATGCTGAAGACTGAGATGAAGATGCTGAAGACTGAGATGAGGATGTTGAAGACTGAGATGAAGATGCTGAAGACTGAGATGAAGATGCTGAAGACTGAGATGAAGATGCTGAAGACTGAGATGAGGATGTTGAAGACTGAGATGAAGATGCTGAAGACTGAGATGAAGATGCTGAAGACTGAGATGAGGATGTTGAAGACTGAGATGAAGATGTTGAAGACTGAGATGAAGATGCTGAAGACTGAGATGAAGATGCTGAAGACTGAGATGAGGATGTTGAAGACTGAGATGAAGATGTTGAAGACTGAGGTGAAGATGTTGAAGACTGAGATGAAGATGTTGAAGACTGAGATGAAGATGTTGAAGACTGAGATGAAGATGCTGAAGACTGAGATGAAGACGTTGAAGACTGAGATGAAGATGTTCAAGAATGAGATGAAAATGTTAAAGACTGAGATGAAGATGTTGAATGAGAGAAGATGAAGAGCTTCTTGAAGACTGAGATGAAGATGTTGGAGGCTGTGATGAGGATATTGAAGATCGAGATGAAGAAGTTGAAGATTGAGATGAATATGTTGATGACTCTTAATAAGAGCCCCTAGAAGAAGAAGACGAAGAAGAACAACAACAACAATAACAAACAAACAAACAACAACAACAACAACAACAACAACAACAACAAACAAACGCACAATTTTAAGAAATAAAAGACGAAGAAATATCTTTGAAAGCAACAAGCAGTCATCCCTGTCATAAATATTTACGAGACGTGAATATCATATGAGGTGCAAGCCAACAAGATCATGGAAAACTCAAAGCAGAAATTTGCCTAAACGAGTGCAAACCAACGCATCTTTTTGCTTTGTTGACACCTACGTACATAAACATTATCGTTAACAGCTACAACACACACACTGTCACCTGTGTGTTTAGCCAACAAACTCGCTGCAATCTTCGTTTGCACCTAAAGAATTCATTAACACCTTTGCACCTAAAACTATATACTGATACGTCTGTTTGCATTTAAAACACACACACACGCACACACACACACACACACACACACACACACACACACACACACACACACACACACACACACACACACACACACACACACACACACACACACCTTAGGCAACACTTCCAGTCTCACTTTGCAATAATTCTTACCAAAATAATTAATGAGAGGACACAGGGGGGGTCTGTGTATATTTGTGTGGCTGTGTTTGTACTCTCCTGATGTTTGTCAGTGTGACTGTGCCCTTCACTGTTTGCACTTGTTTGCGCCTCTGTGTCAGTGGCAGTGCAATGAGTGTGTCTCTGAGTTCTGTTTATGTGTCAGTATCTCTGTTATGTTTCATCTGTCGTTTACATGACCTGACTGGAATCACCTTGTTGTAAAAGCTCTTAATAATTTAATCTTGTCTCTACATCTCTTACCTGTGTTTCTGTTGTGATCTTTTTGGAATAATGTCTTTTTTTTTGTCTGACTTTGTGTTTGTTTTTTTGTTTCTTTTGTGCTTGTGTCCGGGTCACTAGTCTGCTCTGCCAGGAGAAATAGCAATATTGGTGTGTGTTGCTCAGAGGGAAGTATTTTCCCACAGTCTGACAAGTCTGGCTCATATGTACAGTAGTTCATCATTGTGTGTGTGTGTGTGTGTGTGTACTCACCTATTTGTACTCACCTATTTGTGGTTGCAGGGGTCGAGTCACAGCTCCTGGCCCCGCCTCTTCGCTGATTGCTACTAGGTCCTCTCTCTCCCTGCCCCATGAGCTCTATCATACCTCGCCTTAAAACTATGTATGGTTCCTGCCTCCACCACATCACTTTCTAGGCTATTCCATGGCCTGACTACTCTATGACTGAAGAAATACTTCCTAACATCCCTTTGATTCATCTGAGTCTTCAACTTCCAATTGTGACCTCTTGTGTCTGTGTCCCATCTCTGGAACATCCCGTCTTTGTCCACCTCGTCTATTCCGCGCAGTATTTTATGTGTGTGTGTGTGTGTGTGTGTGTGTGTGGTGTGTGTGTGTGTGTGTGTGTGTGTGTGTGTGTGTTAATACAATATTATTTACAAACCATCACAGTTCCTTGTGGGAAACGGACACGAATCCATATCATTAAAGAGAACTCTCTCTTGAAGGTGGCCTAAGTGAACGCTTTGATGCCCACTTCCTAAACTGTTGGCAGTCATACCATCTACCTACGTACCATCTTATTTCCACTTGGGAAGACGTCTAACATCATCTTCGGAAGTCATATCTCTCTTCTTGCTACATACCATCTTATCTCCGCTTGGCAAGACGTCTAACATCATCTTCGCCTTATTCATTTCCCTCCGGGCAACGCCCCAAGCCCAGCTTTGAGATGATCCTTAAGGCTGCAAGGTTATAGGCGATCGCCTGGAACAGTGGGAAGTTAGGCCAAGTAACCGAGCATCGTAAAGGTCTGATCGGAATGTAATTGAAAAGGATCTGATCCCGATACGGAGGAGATTGGACCCTGAGCTAAGGCAATTGTTTAGACGCTACAGAAAAGTTATGTTGTCTATGGGATTTCGTGTTTTCGTAGCACTGCGAGATGTTAAAATTAAATTTTGATGTAATCATAGCAGACCAGACTGTGTCGAAGTGGTTCATGAAATTTATTTGACAAATTGAAAATAAATCCAGTCTTCGTTAGTGCTATAAATTAAATCCCAGGATTAAAATATTTTCTTTTAAACATATACTAAAATGACTGGGTTTTGTCTTTTTCAGCTGTGTGGTTGTAGCCTATATTTATTTATGCAATAATTTCAATGTAACGCGCTGAGAAATGAATTCATGGCTGCTAACTCTTAACATTTATTTATACATCGTTAATACAGATCTCAACATAGCAGTGTGTGTGTGTGTACGTGTATAACACTCGTATTGTTGCAGCTTCATCCTGGTCAAAGTGACTAACTGGCTAGCTCTATCAAAATAGAAAGCAAAAATGCAGGGGGACAAGAGCTGGTGTTCAACCTTGCAGACACAAGTAACTCCAGCAGTAATGGGAGTAGCTCCACCAAAGACGGATCCGAGAGAGAGAATCCAACCCGTCGAGCGATACTGGAAGCGTCCATTCCCTTCATTGAAACAACCCATCCAACGATACTGGAAGCGTCCACTCCCTTCAGAGAAACAACCCATCCAACGATACTGGAAGCGTCCACTCCCTTCAGAGAAACAACCCATCCAGCGATACTGGAAGCGTCCACTCCCTTCAGAGAAACAACCCATCCAACGATACTGGAAGCGTCCACTCCCTTCAGAGAAACAACCCAAATAATCACGGACGCAGCAACCGACCTTCCCAACCAGCGCTATATTCTAAGATCAAAGCTACTTTGAAGGCAGGCTCGCAATGCTTCCCTTTCAATTTCTAAAACTCCAGCTGACGTCCCAACTCAAGCGTTGATTAATTTCTTCGCGACTGGAGCTTTTTACCGGACTTCATCCGCTGTAGCGAGCAATTACAGCCCAACCATGAATTACATGGAACGACTCCCACACTGCTCTGTTGCAGGTAAAGTTCCTCTTATTAATGTATATACGTCTCTTCAAGGGCTATACTTAAGAGCTCCTAATCCAAAGAGCTGCCCAATCCTTTCCTCAGATCAAATCTGATTGCTTCAGATATTCCAATCTTGAATATACCTCCTATGGGTAATTATAACAACGACACACAACACACACACACACACACACACACACACACACACACACACACACACGCGCGCGCGCGCGCGCGCACACACACACAAGCAAGACAAGCCACCGGGGATGGAAATCTTCAACTCAAGTACTTTCACACGTCTCCGAGCATCATCAGGAGCTATGACCTGTTGCAAGGGCAGTAACAGAAGAAATTAGTGGAAGTGGCGACACCAGCCAGCTTGTCTCAGTTTCCGTAAATTCACGGTAATTCTTACACTTACAACAATAAGACTTATACCTACAATCGTAAGTCTGACACAACGGTAAGATTTACATTCGCTGCCATTCACCTGTTTATTCATGTCAACAATACGTTAATCTTTTAAGCAGGGATGCAAGTAAGCTCTCCGTGTACCGTATATACGCCTGTCACTGTATCCCTGTGAAGTCCACATCTATTAGTGTGCACATCAGTGTAATTTCAGTGGATATTCACAGTGAGATTTGCTTTTCTCGGTGTTTATGCACTGCAGGATACACATCACTCAGTGTATATACGTATATCTGCGTATATACGCTTATGAATGCATGATTTACGAGATATATACCTGTCAGGGTATTTATCCTGCGACTTGGTATAATAATCTTCAGACGCTTTATAGAAATTTAAATAAAGTGAATTGTGGAATATTTTAATTCTCTCACAAATAGCCCTATCTCACTGCTAGACCTTCTCTCTCTCTCATATAGGTCTACTTTCTCAAAAATAGGCCTACTGTCTCACTGTTAGGTCTACTCTCTCGCAGCTAGGTCCACTCTCACTACGGAGGCTGCAAGACCCCTCACTTCTACCATCACTCCTCAACTCTGTGATAACATAATCCCCTCACCTAGGACGTGAGGGGTGAGACAATGTGTCGCTTCTTCCCCTCTCTCTCTCTCTCTCTCTCTCTCTCTCTCTCTCTCTCTCTCTCTCTCTCTCTCTCTCTCTCTCTCTCTCTCTCTCTCTCTCTCTCTCTCTCTCTCTCTCTGCCTCTCTCTCACACTTGAACGTTTGAAGTTCCAGCAGCTGATGAACCTTTAATGGAACACTTGACGATATCCTCATCGCCCTACTGAAGTCTCTCAGCTGTGGATGACAAATTTCAACACCTTACACGAACTTTCACGATGGGATGTAGCAGGAAAAACATGGTAAGCTGTCGTTCGTACTGTGTAACTATCGTATAGAATAGGCCAGTATCCAACTGCTAATGTATCCATTTTTTTCTAACTAAAATATAATCTCACTTTCACTCTGCTTTCCAGCCGCCCCTCACTTTCTCCGCGCCCTTCGTGTGGTGTTCTTCACCAAGCTGTCTCTCCTTGTGTAGGTTACGGCTGGCTCTGGGTGGACCGGCGCTGAGTAAGCACGGTAAAGTGACAATTGTGGTGTCCCCTTGTCGTCGCTATTGGCTGCATTCCCATTCCCATCCCGTGCTCCGAGCTTACGACACAACTAGGAATGTATTGTGGCGCTCCCCTGTCGTTCCCATTAAGTGCCGTGAGGTTACGACAGACTTTTGAAATGTATTGTGGCGTTCCCTGTCGTTCCCATCCGTGTGGGAATCTTACGACGTTGTAAAAAATAGGATTATATAGTGTCCTATCATCGTTCCTCTCTTGTGGTGTGAGTGCACTGGAATGTACATAGTGGAATGT